GAACTGATATAAGATTTTTGTGTGCCTCAGGAACATGCAGAACATTATTCAAAAGAAGGTTACGGCTAGGGGTAGTAATCATAGACTAACCAATGGACTAATTGCCATACCTGCACCGCTCGCAGTGTGGATTTGATCTCCTCCGTTGTACTTCTCACGAACCGCCAGCTTCTCAAGTTCGCTGGTGATGTGATCAGAGGCACCAGTGTCTGTGTACCATTTGTTGTCGATGTTGTAGGAGCTTGAAGCCGCCGCCCCTACCTTCTCATCTGTGTAGTTTTCATCAAACCGGTACCAGCAACGAAGGGCGGTGTGCCCCTCCTTGTCGCACACATGGCAGATTGGCTTGTCATGTTTCTTGTTGTTGTTGAAGCCGCCGCGTTGCTGACTGTTGGTGCTGGATCCTTGGCCGCGACCACGGCCTCTAGTGCTGGGAGGACCGCGACCACGCCCATGTGGGGAGCCACGGCCACGGTTTGAACCGCGCCCGCCTCCGTGACCGGCCAGATTGGCCGACGTCTGTTCGCCGCCATGTACCAGATTTATCCTGGTCTCGAAGTTGAGGAGCTGTGCATACAACTCATCAAGCGTCACCGATTCCACCCTCGTAACGAGAGAGGTAACCAGCGACTCATACTCCACGGGCAATCCAGTGAGAATGTACTCAACCAGCTCATCGTCGGTGATAGATCGCCCCGCCGCCGCCATCTCATCACTGAAACCTTTCATCTTAGTGAAATATTTAGTAGCGGAGAGATTACCTTTCTTGGTATTGGTGAGAGCGATGCGCAGATTCACTGCGCGAGCACGGGTCTGTGAGGCGAACATCGCCTCAATCTTTGCCCATGCAGCCTGTGCCGTCTTGGACTTGGCGATGTGGCTAAGGATGTCCCTGGAAACGCTGGCGAAGAGGAAGCTGAGAGTCTGCTGATCCCGGGCCTCCCACTCCTCGAACGCCAGATTTAGGACCTGCTTGCCTTCCTTGTCCGCAATCTTCTGCTCTGGCGCCACCATGGATCCAGTAAGGTGCCCATAAACGCGAGCACCTTTGATAGTCGAGAGGACCTGAGCCTCCCAGATGGGGTAGTTGGTCCTGGTGAGTTTTTCGGTGATGGCCGTGGCCGAGAGAGGGTTGGGCGGGAGGGCTGAAGAGGACGACATTGCGGTGGTGTCCTTGCGTGTTGATTTAGTAGATGAAACAGCCCCATCCGTGGCAGTACATATATGTGCCCATGGAACCTTCTAGGCGCAGGTGGGATCCTAGCAGATCCTATTTACAAGGCAACTAACAATCAATCACAATCCTAGCGCCATGACAGGTTTCCATGTTAGCAGATTGCATATGTGTCATGCATGTTTACACGTTACAAACTTTACTTCTAACATTAGGAATACATGCATGTCCCTGATTTAGATTCGAGACACATCTACTACCTATTGGTTATAGACTTATAGTATAGACATGGGGGGCACTTGGAACTCAGAACTCACCAGTCAATGGATTCTGGGTTCAGTACGTCGATCGTAAAACCCCTGCTCTGATAGCTTAATTATGCATGAACAGGCAATTGATCCGACGACCACTAGTTTGGACCCGCTCGTTCCCAGGGCAAGCTCAGTCACGCGTACACGCATAGATCGGCTCCATATCCATTTTTCCTCGCGTCTGTGGCTCGACACCAGTGACTTCATGTCCTCGTTCCTTGTTTCCATGCTCTGAACGTGTGGACACCACATACAACGGGTGTAGCCAGCACCAGCAGGATAGACCTTCAGCGGGCGCCCACACTACGTGAAAAGCAGTTTGTAGCAACGGGGCTTTTTTTCTTTAGGGGTGGCTGGTATTGAAGCCGCCCTTACAGTAACGTGCTCGGGTTCCAGCACAGCAGCCGCCCCTACAAATGGCACAGTAGGGGCGGCTGGTAATATGAGCCGTCTCTACAAATACGTCGATTTGTAGGGGCGGCTGTGTCCATTTGTAGGGGCGGCTGAATCACCAGCCGCCCCTACAAATACCCGCTGTATATATAGTGGCCATCTTCAGGAAAATTCTCTCTCCCTTCTCTCTCAGTCTCTCTCCTCTTCGCTCCCTCTCTCCCTCGACGCGGACAGGGCGGCGGCGGCTGCGGCTGCCTTTCTCCACCTCCTCCTCCCCACATCGCGTCATTCTGTGCCGGCCGGTCCCTCGCCGCTGGCTCACGCCATGAGGCGCTGGCGGCGACTGACGGCGCCCCCGGGCTGCGGTGCGGCGTCGGCCATGGGACCCGGTGGTGCCCATCTCCGTCCATGGCGCCTCGCGAGCGGGCCTCGCCAGTGGCCGCCGGTGTGACTCCCACCCCTTGCTGCCTCCTCGCGCCGGTCAGCGCCTGCTTCTGTGCTCCACGAAACCCTAGCCTCTCTCTCTCCCTCCCTCTCCTCTCCTCCCCTCTGTCGCCTCCCCTCCACCACCTCCCCTCCTTGATCGCTCCTCGCCGCGGTGCGCCGGACGTGCACCACCGCGACCTCCTCCCCGCGATGTGCGCTGCCAGGCTCTAGCGCACGCGCCGCCCCTCTCCATCGCCAGCACCGCCTCTTCCTGTCATCGGCGGTACTTTTCCGCCTTCTCCACGGTCTCGATCTAATCAGCAGCATTCTCGTAGTTGGTGGCCATGGCGGGCCCGTGTTGAGTGCGCGGGCGGGAGCAGATGAAGGTCTCCGAGCTCGAGATCCTGATGCAGATCCGGGAGGGTCGGCGCGGCGGCAGGCGCCGTCCGCCGCGGGGGCGCTGCGGTCGCCGATGTCCGCCATGATGCTCACCATGTTCGCTACCATGGCCTCCTTCTACGTAGCCGGACGGTGAGTCCGCCCACCCGCCGGTTTCCGTCATTAGTTTCTTCGTGAAAATGCTCGCCTGCTTGGCTTCTTCTGTTCGATTGTTTTGTATATGCGTGTGCTACCGATAACCCGTGGGGGGATTCTAGATCCCTGTATGTCTCTGGCGGGAGCTGCTCATGGTGATCTTGCTAGGGAAGTTATGATCCAGCCGGTGGTGCATTAATTTTAGAACAGCGGGTGAGGTTTTGATCTCTCAAACGGAATCCAGTGCGAGGCTCACATTTTGTTGCGATGTTAGTACTTGTTTCTGCAGCACTCGGATTTTGCAGTGTCACAGTTCATGAGTGGAGTATTCCCTTTTGTGCTAGTATTGATGAAGACCTATCTTAGTTCTAAGGCACCTTACCTTTTAACTTGATCTGGATTGTCATAGTAACGGAAAACTGTTCCTCTGTAGAAATGGTTTGTGTTTTTGCCTTTTGCTGTACAACAGAGGCAAAGGAGGATAGAGCGTATACTTGTAGCGCTCCTAGGAGCAGTCACGGGGCGGCCAGATGGGCTGGTCGTCGTCCTCGGCAGGCTCCGGCAGCCGCCGTAGGTGAGGAGACCGGGCGGAGTGCGTTTGTCTGGCTGTTCGTGGCGGCGTGCCTCGCGGGCGGCGTGGTTCGCGTCGAGCCGTGGCGCCAGGCTTCGCGCCCACCTCGGCTATCTAGTGCTAGTGGCCTCCCGCCCCTGACTAATATCGATAAATAACAAAACTAGATCGGTAAGAGTTCATTTGATCATTTGACAAAAAGATTTTAATGTCCTGGTCTTCTTCATTGTGAAAATCTACGGACTCTAGCGAACTGATCGTAGATCAGTTGGTTCGGTTCCTTGTGGTGGAACCTGTCCACCTAGGTTCAAGTCCTTGACTCGACACGGGTGCTCATATTTTTCTAGATTTATTCCAGGATTTATCGGCGATATGCTTTCAGTGCTATTCCAGGATTTATCGGCGATATGCTTTCAGTGGTAGGCGACGTCTCCGTCTACAGCGAGGCGCCAGTGGTGACTTCATGAATCTCGAGATCTGTCGGCTAAGTCCTTCGAAGGCGCGGATAGGGGTAGGGTTTACGTTCATATGGGTGAGTGTGCGTGCGTGATGTGGGCATCTGCGTTGTACTGTGTAATTCTAAAAAAAAATCTACGGACTCTAAAAATTGATATAATCAATAAAACATTTATGGAATTTCTACTAGATCGGTAAGAGTTCAACATTGAAATAAACTTTGAAGTGAGAATGGAGGATTACCAAGCATAGAAGTTAGAATTATGGGCTATTGCTGGCATGCTGCCTTGCTGGCCTGTGCTACTGCTCTGCGCTGCCCCTGTTTACGCAACAGCGAGCCTGAGACCTGCGGCCAGGCAGGCCCAGGCGGGCTTCGGGTGGCAGGGGCCGGCTGGCCGCGTGCCCGCATGCGGCGTGTCCGCACTCCGCGTCACGGCATCAGCCATCCAGGCGGGCGGGCGACCCTCTCGGCGAAGTCAGAGTGGGGACTGGGGTCTGGGGAGGACCGGCGCCGGCGCAGGACGGCAGGAGGGCGTCCTGCGGGAGGGCAGCCGGCACTACCGGAATGGAAGGCTTGGTCGAGTGTCATATTCTTTGTCGAGTGTATTTTATCGGACACTCGGTAAACCATCTCTTTGCCGAGTGTCAAACTAAAAACACTCGGCAAAGATTCTGATACTCGACAAACTCTCTGTTTGCTGAGTGCTTTACTAAAAACACTCGGCAAACATTCTGACACTCGACAATTCTACTGAAAAACACTCGGCAAACTTCGGCACTCGGCAAATATGAGAAAAACACTCAGCAAATTATGGCACTCGACAAACATCGCGCCATGTGTCCTTCCATGAAAAGAGAAAAATAAATAAAAAATAAAATAAAATATAATAAAATCCTTTACCGAGTGTCTATGTTTGCCGAGTGTCATCTAGCACACTTGCCGAGTCTCCACACCTTCCCCTCCGATGCCGTCCACACGTTCAACCTTCTGGAACCAACGATGCGGCATCCCGTCCTCGGCAAACCACGCCACCCTTATCCCTTCTGCCTCCTCCCCCAGACGGAGGTGGCCGCCCCCCGGCCTAGCGCGGCGGCGCAGCCGCGCGGGCGGGCCCAACACGGGTCGTGGGCGACGATGCCCCCCTCCCCCGTGGCTGGCGCGCAACGGAGCGGCGGCTCCAGCGCAGGCGCCATGCTTTTCCCCTCCCCCGTCTGCAGCGCACGCAGCTGCGGTGTGGCGCTCCAACCGACCTCGCTTGCCTCCCGCAGGGCCACGCTGTCGCCCCAGGCCGCTACAGCCGCGGGCCACCCGTCGCGCCCCAGGCCCCATCCCCGATGGTGCCTGCTTCGCTGCCGTCACCCCTTGCCCCAGTACGGGCGACGCCGGCAGCCCCGTCGGCCCTGCGTGGTCGCCTCTTCATCTGCCCTGTCTGCGGCTCTGCTCGGCACCTCGCCCTGCCCGTGGCGCGTCGCCTCTTCCTCTCCGTTGCGGCCGGATCTGGTGAGACCTCACCCTCTACTCCTCTATTCCATGACTGCTCCCCCAGTTCCTGCATCCCTCCGTGTTCTCCTTCGTGCAGGTGACTGGCTGATGCGGCAGCGTGCGCTACCTCGCCCTCTACAGGTAATAACCCTGCTTTTTGTTACTAAGCTAATGATGACCGTGTAATGGCATAGCTACTTCGAGATTAAGATGCATATTTTACTGAATCAAGAAGGTAGATCGCTCCATCTAAGGTATATACACTGACTATAGTACATAGCATTTCTTTTTTTGTTTCTTAAAGAGAATTATTCCAGTTATTTTTTTCTTAAAGTGCTTTCAAACTGATTAGGGCAATCACATTTAAGCCATAAACTATTCTTGAAGTGATTTCAATCTGATTAGGATCCTTCCATCTACATTCTCAGCACTACGTGTAATGGCTATATTCCTTGCAGAAAACCTTTTTCTTTGTTAGTACATGTACATAAAGTTTTCTTCCATTTTTTAAGGTTGTTACATTCAGAGATGCTGCAGTTCTTTTGCTGCATTATGTTCATGGAATCCGAGCACAAGGTTATAAGTTGGAGTACAGCTATTTCGAAATTAAGATGCATGTTTGACTGAATGGAGAGGTACATCCCGAAGATACGTAATAGCATGGGAGATATCAATAGCAATTTCCAAATCAGTTAAAATTCCAATATTTTACCATTTATAATTGCATATACCTATCCTCATGTAATATACAGTTAGTATTGTATTCTTTGTTGAATACCTATTCCTTTGTTAGTACATCCATATCTGAAGTGTTCTTCCTTTTTCTTAGGCTCATATACTTACAGTTGTTGCAATTCTTATGCTGAATTTTGATGATTAGATTCGAGCACACCGTGTTAAGTTGGACCACCTCAATATTGAGTGTGGTTTGGGAAGTGTTCACAGTGAATTTGAATGATATACAGTGTGTAAACATGTGGTTACTTCTAAATTGTAAGTTTTTTTGTAAATTCTGTACTATTTATTGAGCCTATGGTATTATCCGACCTTTTTAATATGTCTGCATTGTAATTTTTGCCAAATGCTAAACTCATATTCTGATCATGCATGAGTCCTGCACTCCTGCAGGAACCCCCGGGGTAGCAACGCCTCCACCCTTCCATCATGGATACCGCGCGCTCCGTGCATCTCTTCAAGATAGCGATCACGAAAACCTACATTAATCACATGTTCGAGTCCCATAAGGTAACAATGAACCTACATTAATCACATCTTGTGGCACTTGAATTGTGGATGTCAGTCAAGGCATGGATACACTAATGGAGCAGCCACTGGTTACCAAATATTTAAGCTTATAACTACTTTAATCGTTTCACTTGATCACGTCATTCTAATACAGTTACTGTTGTCTCTTCAGGGACGTCCAAAAGGTGTCACTCCCAAGTACAGCTTGAAGCCTCTTGTCCCGCACTTGTCTGAGCTCCTTGGAGTTAATGTATGCATTATGAAAATATAGCTCATGTTCGTTCTTGTACATAGTATGAAAAACTCGAACAATAACTCATCTTATCTGCCCTTTATTTGCTTATATACATTGTTAAAAGGTTGTTATGGCCAATGACTGCATTGGTGATCAGGAAGTTCAGAAGTTGGCTTCTTCTTTACCAGACGGAGGTGTTCTGCTTTTAGAAAATGTTAGGTTCTACAAGGAGGAAGAGAAGAATGACCCTGAATTTTCCAAGAAGCTGACATCTGTTGCTGATCTCTATGTAAATGATGCCTTTGGTACGGCACACAGAGCCCATGCTTCAACAGAGGGAGTTACCAAGTATTTGAAACCTGCTGTGGCTGGCTTCCTTATGCAGAAGGTATTTTCTGAAGTTTAGTTAGTCTGTTATGTACTTCATTGTGAAGAATCAATACTCTTTTTCCTTTTCAAGTTGCAAAGCCCTGATGTCTTTTCATTGGCTGAGGGTCAGCTTCCAATTACCTGCAACTTGACAGCATTGAAAGGTTCTGCAATATTGTTTTCATCTTTCAACTAAGAGCTCTCACATTTCAGGAACTTGACTATCTTGTTGGTGCTGTTGCCAACCCAAAGAAGCCATTCGCTGCAATTGTTGGTGGATCAAAGGTGTCAACGAAGATAGGGGTGATTGAGTCTCTATTGGCTAAGGTTGACATCCTCATGGATATGCTGTAGGCAAATCTCTTGTTGAGGAAGACAAGCTTGAACTGGCAACTTCACTTATTGAGAAAGCCAAGTCAAAAGGGGTCTCACTCTTCCTTCAGTATTTTGGTAGCTACCTGTCATTAGTCTCTTAAATTTGTCATCTTCATTTCTATGTCCATGTGGTTATTATGAGAATTATGTTGCCAGGAGCATGATGTGCATGCAGATATGGTATATTAAGAGTGTTTTGTATGGCAGCTATTAAACTGAAATATGCTGAGAAAAAAATTATTTTTTTTCTTTGAAAAATAGGTTTGCCGAGTGTAATTCAAAAACACTCGGCAAACAATAATGATATGCTGAGAATTTTTTTTCTTTGGAAAATAGGTTTGCCGAGTGTAATTCTCAAAAACACTCAGCAAACAATAATCCTTTGTCGAGTGTATTTTGGAAAAACACTCGATAAACCACTTTTTTTGCTTGACACTCGGCAAACCATTTGCCGAGTGCGCGATAAAAAACACTCGGCAAATAGCTGTTTGCCGACACTGTAGATGTCGTGTGCTGTTTGCCGAGTGTTACACTCGGCAAAGGGGTTTTTTTTTATCTTTGTTGAGTGCATGTGGCACACGGCAAAGTCACTATTTCCGGTAGTGCGGTAGAGACGGGTGGACAGCCGCCGGTGGCGCGCTAGGTTAGCAGCGGGAGGAGCTCGGATGTATAGAGAAGCAGAAACGGGAGGGAGAATCAGACGGGGCGACGGGCGCGGCGCAGAGCTGGCGAGTTGCCTACTTGCGTTTCTGCCTCTTCCCTCTCGTTGCTGGGCCAGGACATTTGGCCCAATTCCTAGGGCCAGGACGAAAAAAGACATATATATTCTAAAGAGTTTTTTTAGCCTATATATTCTAAAGAGTTATTTGGGCTATGCTAGGGCCATGGCCCTAATAGCCCTAGGCCCAAATCCGCCCATGGCTATCTCGGCACGCACGTGCCGGCATTATAAAAAAAGGAGGGAGAAGCCGACCGACCTCTCTCTACACTTGCAACTGTGTGCGGCGCTGACTGGTGACTGAGAATTTTTGGAGAATTTGGTGAATTTCCTTTTGTTGAATCCAAATTTCAAATGGCCCATTTAACAACACTTTATTTCTAGAATAGTGCAAGTGTTCATATTTTATCACAAAAATTATGAGGGAGAAATTAATGACATGGGAGGTGTGATTGCAAAATTTTACCCTAGTCATCAAACAAGGGCACCAACTAGGGCACCAGAGCACGAAGTAGAGAAACAATGCAAACTACTAAAGGTTGTGAAATGTGGCGCTTACACACAAAGATTCATTGGTTCGCAGTTTTAAGCCTCCAATGAAATTAACGGTCCCACCAATAACGTTGCATAGCGATCAATAGAACAATAACGGTTTTTTGGCGCGAAAAAAAAAGATGAGAATAACATCTAAAACAAAAAGCCCTGCACAACAAGCATTAATTACATAGACGACGTGCGTTTGTTTCTAATAAATCGTACACATGCCAATAAAGTTGCTTAGCATGCAATCAATAGAACAATAATCGTCTTTAGCGCGAAAAAGACACGAATAACATCTAAACTAAAGTCGCGCGCAACAAGCATCTACGTAGACCACGTGTTTTTGTTTCTAATAAATCGCCACAGGCATAACATGCATTTACATGGACCACTGATTGTGTACGTTTGTTTCTAATAAAGTGATTGATGTTAAGAGTATCAATTATCATTGCACGGGGAATTCTTAACATATCTCGAAATTAATTTCTAACCCATGGCTTTGCTTGAGAAATCTCGCTATTAATTTTCACAAGCCAACGACAGCCCTTTTTTTATATAAAAAAGGAAAACGACCCAACGCAGGTTCGCAGCCAAAAGAAGCAAACCTTTACACTGTAGGCTGGTGTATATATCTGTTTTGTGCAAGAAAAAAAAAATATCACGGCGGTCGGCCACGTCATGGCGGCCACGCAGGCAAGCACTGAATGAAAGCGTGTGCGGGCGGGCACGTCGTGCTACGTCCTCGCTCCATCGCCGTCGCTACGGGCTTACGGCCGCGCCGGGCCAGTCCCGCCAAAAACGTTTTGCACCGTGCACGCCCCAAGGGGACAGACAGCATCAGGAGGGGGCCGGCCCATCGAGTGCTAGCTGTTGCTGTTGGACCGTTGTCAGGCATGCAGTCGAAAATAATGATAGTTAGTTAATTAGTTAGTAAATCTCCAAAACAATAGCAACTTTGCTTCTTTGTTGTCCCAACCAAATATTTTTGTTGGCAAGGTACAGTCCGTGCATCATCAATATATATATAATATATTCCACATCTAACTTATCTTCATCTATCCATGTGTTCGTATAGATAAATAAACAGCATGAGGATGGTAGTAGTAGTCAAATGAACTCATTCGAGGACTATATATTGTTGATGCACAAAGCTAGCATGGGCCCAATACTTTTGGGGGCAAGAGAGAGATTGAGATCAATGGACGCTAGCCACAGGTAGTAGTACTACGTATTACAGGGTGTGGCCGGTTTTCGCAATAATCTTCTCTTTTTTTTTTTTTTTTTTTTTTTTTTTTTTTTGCTTAGAGCGAAGCGATTCATATAGCAAAGAAAACTGAACCGACTCTAGTAGAAACCTCAATCAATGGAAAAAAGAGCCCTAAATCTATTGGTTGCTTGAGTGATTTTCTCCCTCCGCACACTCGATTTCCTGAGCGTTGGATCTTTGGTCCGCTGATCTCGTGTGCTCCACATGGTCCCCCACCTGGCCCGGTCGTGTGGGGCCCAGGGTGGCAGTGTGCGGCCGGTCAGGCGCCTGCACCCTCACGCTGCTAGGGCATGTTTGGATGCTGCCTCCCAGGCAGCTCGGATGCCAGGCAGCGTCCCCAGGTGTTCGATTTCGATCACCTGGGGCTACGATCGCTTGCCTGGTAGGCAAGCCCAGGCGAGGGTGGCATCCAAACACGCCCCTAGTGCCCGGGACCATGCGTGGCAGGGTGGTCAGCAGGTGCAGGTGAGTCAGATCGCCTTGTGTAGTGCATGCTACTTTGTGCAGGGACCTGTCTCAGCCACGTCAAATTAACTAGCGCCTTGACACCTTTGTATGTAGATTCAATACTTTAATACGAGCAGATTATATCTTATTGGATCATATTTTACTCTTTCGCTTTTGTTACAAGTTCTGTGTTCAATTTGTGAAAATTGATTATTCGTAACTACAATTGGTCCCAATTACTTGAATCTGATCTTTTTTTTTTTGTTTTTTTTAATTTTTGTGTGCTTTATTTGATTTCCCTTTGAAATTTTCCAATTTGGCTTTCATAAAAATAATCTAGCTAATTTTTTGTTTTGTTTTGTTTGATTAATATTTTTGCATTATTTGGATAATTTTTTTATTCATCTAATCTGGATCTCATTGTCATAAGAATCAAGTGTTGCATGGGTTCAAAATACTCGATTTTGATTTCCGCTGTCAATCGAGTGTTTCTGCGCTATCAAGCACTCAGGTGTCCATGCACCTAGAAACACGCGAGCGGTGACTAGACAACCCCAAAAAGAATCGGACCATGCGTCGGATATATATATCTCCGAGAACTAAAAAAAAATAAAGCGTGAATATTTTTTAGTACGACATTTATTTTGGGTATGTGTAACACCCTAAAATTTACACTTTTGAAAATAGGATTAAAATGATTTATTTATGAATTTTGTGCTCATAAAAACCTAGGAAAATAAAATTTTCATTAAATTAAAATTCATCATAAGCTAGCAACATGAATGTGCATATATGCCGGTACATTTGTTTCTTTGTATTGTGTGGATTTGATTCAAATTGAAAATATGCCAAAATGTTTTTGAAGTTGGCTTTGAAGTAAAAGAAAATAAAATTTGAAAATAAAAGAATTTAAAAAGTTATAAAAATTATTTTTGGGAAGACTTACTAAAATTCCTCATTTTTACTTGTGTTGAAAAAGTATATTTGAAACCCCATTTGGATTTGATTTGGTTTACATTTGAATTTGGAAAAAAGAACCAGATTTGGAAATTGAAAATTTTTCTTTCTCTTCAATCTAGCCCGAAGGCCTGCCCTGCTCCCCCTCTATCCGGTCTGCTGGCCCAAGGCCATAGCCGCTCGCCTTCAACCCTCTCTCACCCGCGTGGGCCTCCTGTCGCCGGCCCAGCGCACTCTCCCCTTACTCCCTTGGCACTGGCCCAGCTTCCTTCCTCCCAACCGCGTCGCCTGCTTCCCACTTCCCTGCTCGGCCTTTGCTCCCGGGAGCCCATCCCGGTCTCCCTCTCCCCTCCTCTCCTTCAGCCCAGTTTGGCAGCCCAGCTCCGCTCAGTCGAAGCCAGCGGCCCGCACCGCGCCCTCTCTTGCTCACTGACCGCCCGGCCTCTCCTTCTCTTGACGCCGACCGGTGGGACCCCACTGTCAGGGGCATCTCCTACCTCCGGCGTATCCTTCCCAGACTTTTCCCCGCGCGTGCCGAGTGTCCCACGCCGCCTCGCCTCGCTCGGTTGCGTGTTTCCCAAGCTGCGTCAGCGCCTTAAATAGAGAGCCTCCACGCCGTGCCGCCCCGCATCCACCTGAGCACCTCCGCCCCAACCTGAGCGCCAGCAGCCGCACCGCCACCTAGCGCCGCTATCCGCCGACGACTCGACAAGCCGTGCACCGTCTCTGGTGCTTGGAGGTCCCCACCAGTGCCCTAGGTCAACCTCCTCTTCCACCCCGTGCTTTCCTGTCGAAAATCGTGCACCGTAGGTCGTGTTCCGAGCTTCGCCGATGTGTTCCGTCGCTGGCCATGGCGCACCACCGTGTCGGCTTTACTATTCTGGCAGCCAGGTTCTTTCTCTCACCGCCGGCCGTATAAATCTAATTCGACGGCCCAAAAGCAAAGTTACCCCTTCACTGTTAGATTTACAAAAGAGCCCCTCCAGTTCTCTGTTTTCAAACCCGCGGTCCATTGCGCAATCCGCAGATTACGCCTTGTTCTTTTAAAAA